CCGATCGGGGCCCGACGGTGCAATCGGGCCCTATCGGGGCCCGATCGGGGCCCGACGGTGCCCGTGGTGCAACCCCAGCCAGCTCAACGCCGGTTTTCCTTAGCATGCGGATTGCAACTGCATCTATAGCAAAACTAGGCGACGCCAGCTTGGTACAATTGACGCGGCCCGACTGAGTCGGGCCCCGATCGGGGCCCGACGGCGCAATCGAGGCCCGATCAGGGCCCGACGGCACAATCGGGGCCCGATCGGGGCCCGACGGTGCAATCGGGGCCCGATTGGGGGTTGACGGTGCAATCGGGGCCCGATCGGGCCCGACGGTGCAATCGGGCCCCGATCGTCCCGTGCACGTATATTATAGCTCAACGCGAACGCGGATTGCAACTGTATCTGTAGCAAAACTAGGCGATGCCAGCTTGGTACAATTGACGGGGCTCGACTGGGTCGGGCCCCGAGCGGGGCGCGATGGCGCAATCGGGGCCGATCGGGCCCAAACGGTGCAATCGGGCGGGCCCCGACAGTGCCCTGGGCCCGGTCGCAACTTTCGCGGAGCTCAGCGTGAAACTTTGGCTGCCCCATAGCTTTTGCAGAATTTGGTGGAAACCTTCTGACCTCATAGCCCTCGCAGCCTCGTGGAATTCTTGGAACCCAAAGCCCACCAAGCAGCAATGCCAAGCATTTACTCTGCTGCACCGTGAGTTCCGCAGCGACGTGATCTGATTTGCCACAAAGCCAACATTTGCCTGAGCAAGTGAGCAAGTCACAAAACAGTGAAAGTGTGCTAAAAACCATTGATTTCGGTTTTGCTTAGTGTTCCGCCCATAAGCAAAGCGATCTTGATCCGATGGCTTTTCGCACGACACACCCTTGGTGGAGCATTGTGGAGCCTTGTGGAACCCATGTGGAATCCTTGCAGAGCTCTGTGGAACCCTGTGAAACCTCAGGGCCCACGGCCCTCGCAGAATCTTGTGGAACCCTGAAACCCTCATACAACCTTATCGCAGAACCTCGTGAAACCCTGCTAGAACCGTGCTGGAATGGAACCTTACCTTGCACAACCTGGTGGAATTCTGGTGGAATTCTCATGGAACATTACCTCAAACCAGCCCGGACCGCTGGTGGAACCCTGGTGAAACCCTGGTGGAACCCTCGTGGATGGTGGATGGAACCCTCGTGGAACCTTCCTCAAACCAGACCACCCCAGCCCTGGAAGAAATTGCTGGAACCCTGGTGGAACCCTCGTGGAACCTTACCTCAAACCACTCCAGACCACCCTGCAGCCCTGGTGGAACCCTCGTGGAACCTTACCTCAAACCACCCCGCAGCCTGGAACCCTGGTGGAACCCTGGCGGAACCCTCGTGAAACCTTCCTCAAACCCGCACTCAAAGAAATTGGTGGAGCCCTGGTGGAACCCTTGTGGAACCTTACCTCAAACCACCCCAAAACACCCCGTGGTGGAACCCTGGTGGAACCCTGGTGGAACTGTGGTGGAACCCTGGTGGAACCCTGGTCAAACCCTGGTGGAACCCTGGTGGCACCTTAGCTCAGGGTCGCCCCGAACCACCCCGGAGCCTATCTGGGCTGAGACCCCAAAGCTTTCAGCTGTTGGGGAAAAAGTTGGGCCGATTGTTTTTGCCACACTTGGGGTATTGGGTCGGGGAGGTTTGTAAAATGCCCTCGCGTCCATGGCAATCTCCCCGAAAGGGGGTTAAAAGAGAATTGGGGGGAGTTGGGTGCGAAAAACCTCGAGTTTTCCGAAAACGGAGCTAACATGGACACACAGGGTGTGTGATTGCTTGTGGTTTTGTTTTTGGAAAACTCGAGGTCTTGTTTTTGCATTTGTTGCAAGTGTGAAGAACCTCCAGTTTTGCAAAGAAACAAAGAACCACATGGATACATAGGGTCTGTTTTTTGTTTGCTGTTTTGTTTGACAACTCGAGTTTGTTTGCATGTGTTGGAAACATTTGAAACACCTCGAGTTTTGAACATCAAACAAGATCAGACCCAACCTCAGCCAACATGGATTCATAGGGTTGCTTTCTTGTTTTCCCCCTACAGAAAGACATGCGCTAGACATATGGTAAACACATGCTAGAAATACGTAAGCATCAGGCTAGACATATGCACCCACTCAATGTTCGCTAGACGGAGTAGACATATGCTAGACACATGCTACAATGTTGGCAAAGAGTGGCTAGATACGCACTAGACATGCTAGACACAGTCTGGACCCATGCTAGACCCATGCTAGGGCTACGGTAGGCCACTGCTAGAAAATGCGTGACAAGTTCATTTATTAGCTATGTGATTAGCCATGGTTCATATCATCATCAGGGACGTCGCGTTAGTGACCGACCTGTGGTGTTTTGGCTCAAGTTTTGGGTTCCGTCGCGCCTCGAATGGGCATCGCCGAACCCCTGCGTCGACCGACGGCATCTCGGGGGAGAAAGAGACCTCGGGCCGCCGCCAGGTTGGTAGGGACCAGTCGTGCGGCCTGTTGTCGACCAAGGTTGCGGGTTAACCCTTTTCTTGTTTGGTTTGTTTTCCTTTGGTTGTTGTTCTCTGGTGTGTGGGAAACCCTGATCTTTGGGACCGGGGATTGGTTTGCTTTTGGGGAACCTTTCTTTTGTGGCTTGTTTACCCCAACTTACCCATTGCCTGGGCACAGGCTCGTGCCCGAATCACAGGTTATCAGCCGTAGGACTTTCCTACGCGCTTGAGACCATCAACTACAAGCTCTATGTCGACCCCACGATCTCGAAGGAGCGTCGTGGATGAGGAGGCCATCCTAGGTGGCCTCCGCTCAGGTGAGGACCTACCGGACTATGACTACGAGGATTTCGAAGCAGGTTCGACAGGTCAGGACCGCAGGGGTGAAGATCCCGGTAGGGATACACCCAGGGGCCGTGGCAGGTACGCCGACGATGGAGACGATCGTATTTTCCGCCAGGCCACTGATGACGAGCAGACACGAAGGGTTTACTCCGATAGGAGTGGCTCTGAATCAGGTCACAGGCGTGGACATTTTGACTTCATCAGCATGGCGATGGACATGGCCCGCCCTCATTCGGATGACCCGGAGGCCATGCCGGTTCGACCTCCGAGATCTCTTGTTCCAGGTGAGTCGCAGGTCTCGGATGAGTTTGAGAGTAGGCCGCAGGGACCAGGGACTATGGTTCTGGTTCCGGGAGGTATCCCGGGCCGATCCACTGGTTCTCAGAATCCAGGTCAGTTTGATGAGCACGAGGAGCGGAAGTTCTCAGGACTTCGGATACGATGATCTGTTGAAATCAACCGCAGGTTGGGGCAGTAGCTCAAAGCAGGGATCTGATGCCGGTAGGCCCAACCCTAATACTGCCAAATCTGAGTCCTATGATGGCGAAGGTTACAATTTTGCGGATGAGGAGGAGAGCCATCCGCGCCGAGATGCAGGCAGCCGTGCGAATGCAAGGACTAGTCCTGACGAGTATGCCGCATTTGCGGATCGCCGTGATGAGGAGGAGGACCAATCACGACGAAATGCTAGGATCCGTGATGCTGCGAGGCCCAGGAGCCTCTCTCGTGGAGCCGCCAGGGACCTTCGCGTTGACAGGGATGCCCGAAGCGAGAGAGAGAGAGCCAGGGACAGTCGGGAAGTTCTTCGGGGATTGGAGGCCATCCATGACCGTGAGGGACCGGTAGGTCCCCCGGCGATTGGTGATACCCCGAATGTTCCCCCTTTTCCCAACATTACGTTTGGAGGTCCGATGAATCAGAGGGACGTGAACTCGAACCGGGTTACTGGTTCGCCGAGAGTCACTGAGCGGGTTGCCGATGTCGTTGGCAGAGGTGCAAGAGATGGCCGGCTTGCCGATGCACTCGGAATCGAGGATCGTCCGTCGATCGCTAGCCCGTTAGGGCGAGATACCAGTGACCTTGAAACGCTAAGGTCCAGCAACGAGTTCACACCTCAATGGGGCTCGACCGCCAGGGAACGTAGTGCTTCTGCGAAGAGACCGTCACCCCTGGCCATTGAGACCGATAGGTCGAAGGCGAGGAGGGCTAGCCCCTCACCAATGGACTCAACTCCGCAGGATGAGGAGATGCCTGATCCTGCTGATGTTCACATCCACTCTACTCCCGAGTCTCGTGCGTCCCATGTTGATCCCCGTTCCGGCGATAGCCGTAGAAGGGGGTCTACCCCTAGCAGGCCATCTGGGGTTGGTGATAGTCCTGTGGATGACCCCAGAAGATATGCTAGAGCTAGTGGGGCTCCTGAGAGGATCGAGATATCGACTCCTCCAGCACTCAGGTCTCATTCTTCCGGTGAATCAGGTGACGCTAGGGCAAAGGAGGTGTTCGATTTGCACATCCAGGAGATGCTCGAGAGAGGTGAGGTTTCTGGCTCAGTCGCGAAAGCTTTCCATATTTTTGCTGACCAGATCAGGTTACTGAACGGTCAAGTGAGTTCCATGCGAAGGGAATGGAGCGACGAGAATCAACAGACGAAGAACAAGGTCGATCGACTGGCAGCTGAGGTTGCGACTCAATCTGATGCCGGGAGGATGCGAATGATAGTTCAACGGTTCGCAAGGGAAGTTATTCCCGATAGCAAGGCCATTGTGAGGCAAGCCATCGATGAGCAAGCCGAGGTCGTGGAGCAGAGGATTAACCTACTGTCCCACGAGGTCCATGAATCTGTCAGGGACAA